ATAAATACAAATACAACCGGACCAAATGAAAAGAATACAACAAATAGTCTTACTCTGATTCGAACTCTAGCTCAAACCGTCTTATCCCCATCCCTTGATGTGACGATCATCAGGCGACACCTAGTGGTTGTTCAAAACAGCAAACAATACACTCGGTAACATTCTTATTCTAGAAGGGGTCGCGGAGCTATGCACTGGCTCTTCAATCTAGTGCATTGGAGTATTGTCCAATATTAATAAACAACTCAAACGACCTGGACCTCCTTAACAAATATTATAACCCTTATTGTGCTAGCTAGCTATAGCTAGATAGCTAAATGGCTAGCGAAGCTGACTATTGCTTCTTACCGGTGGATGGTCCACGCAGACTGTCTGGATATTCAGACTCTCCAAATACTTATCCAACTCAGGCTGGAGCTCAGGTGTTGCAGTCGTTTGTTTTTGGAAAGGAAAGAGGACAAATCGGAACACTTCCACGTAGCATACGCCTCTGTGCATTCCAAAACCGGTGTTTACATGACTGGGCAAGCGCAGTGTAGGAACAAACAAACCAGAGACAGTCCACCAAGGATTCACTTTTTTGGTCTGACAACCCCCTAGTAAACGTGAGTGGGCAAACAATATTTGATGTGTGGGCAAAGTGGAGATTAGAAATACCTAAGCCCTAGGAGTAAAAGCTAGAATGGGGTTGGTCAGTCATGGTGTGTAGACCACATTCTGTAAGTATATTTGTCAACTATTAGTGACTTGCTATAGATGCACATCAATTCTCACATTGCATTAATATAAGGCCGCCCAGGGGTAAATTAATTATTTCCCTGAAGTGATAGACATGAGTGATAATTAGAACAGAATCAATCCAAACCTCCTTAGACGTCTTAGTGCCAAAACATACAGTGCATTCAGAAAGTATTCATAACCCTTGACTTATTCCACATTTTGTTGTGTTGCATACAGGCTGGTTTCAAAATGGATAAAATGTTTTTTCCCCCCAATGATGGAGACCACTGTACTATTGGAAACTTTCACTCTAGAAATTGTTTTATACCCTTCCCCAGATATGCCTCATCACAGTTCTCTCATATCTACTCCAGAAATTGTTTTATACCCTTCCCCAGATATGCCTCATCACAATTCTCTCAAATCTACACAGTTCCTTCGACTTCATTGTAGTTTCTGCTCTGACATGCACTGTCAACTGTGGGACCTTATATAGACAGGTTTCTTTTTAAATCATGTCAAAACAATTGAATTGGCCACAGATGGACTCCAATCATGTTGTAGCGACATCAAGGACAATTAAATGAAATTGGATGCACCAGAGCTCAATTTGGAATGTCATAGCAAAGGGATGTGAATACTTATGTAAATTGGATCTATGTAATACATTTGCAAACATTTTCACCTTTTCATTATGGGGTACTACAGTGTGTAGATGGGTGAAGAAAAAAACAATCCATTTTGAATTCAGACTAACAAATTGTGGAATAAGTCAAGGGGTATGAATACTTTCTGAAGGCACTGTCAGTATGAGCAGTAGTTTGAAGTGTATTTACTTTATACCTTACAAGATTCTGTAAAAAAAAAAAAAAAAAAAAACAGGACCACACCAAGCCCATTTTTAGAAGACGTTTAAGCCTAAAAAGCCAGAACTACATGTAGCCCTGCTAATAATAATCCTCCGGAAATGTCAGATTGGTAAACCAATCTCATATTGTGTGAAACTATAGGAATCAAGAAATCAGTGATTGGTGAAAACATTTTATTTAGTCCAGTCCATTAGTTTACTTGTCCTCAGGCTTGTTGAAGCAGTAAGTGAGGCAGCACTTGCCACAGTAGTGCCTATCGAAGTGGCTGGCCATGAACACGCCAGCGCCACACTCTTCAGCTGGACACTCACGACGCAGACGGTGGATCTTGCCGTTTTCATCAACCTGAAACAACCCCATGGAAGCCATAAGTATAGCAACGGAACACACACGACAGTGGCTGCATTCAGTAGAGCGAAACAGAAAACAAATTCCCTCTTATGACAGGCCTCATTGACAAGGAATTCTTGACACCACAGGAGGTCTCAATATTAATTTAAAATCAGCCAAAAATGAGCTTTGTTTGTGCCTAATAAACATGGCCTATGTACAGCAGATATTTTTGCAACTGTCAGATTTCATGGACTTCTGGATCCAGTAACATGTCTACAAAACAATTGCTGGCTCCATTCACTAGACGTGGATTTTTAAACAATGGGTCAGGACCCAAAGTGTGCCCTGGGCATGCGAGGTGGGTCGTGAGTTATGAGAATACATATTTTAATATTACTTCTTAATTTAGGTAGTTGAAGGAAAATATGGGTTACGGAAGGCCGGTCAATTTCTATTTTGGGTCTTGAGCTGAAAAAGTTTAAGATCCACTGCACTAGAGCCTAGAGGCAGTAGACAGCAAATTGGCATACTACCAGACATATACATTTTTTTTTTTTTACACATCTATTAGACTAGCTGTTATCTGCAATCAAGGAATGGGTCAAGTTGTGATCCAGTGCGTTTACCTTGTAGTACTTGAGCACTGCGAGCTTGACCTTCTTCCTCTTGTGCTTGTTCTTTTTGGGAGTGGTGTAGGACTTCTTCTTCCTCTTCTTGGCACCCCCACGCAGTCTCAGCACCAAGTGCAGAGTAGACTCCTGCAGGACAACAATTCAGTTCAACCAGAAAGACCAACAAATGGCTATAGCTTCAGTGGTCAATGCTGCATATGACAGTAAGAATAAATACTTATTTGGGCTGTATGATTGTAGTGAGAAATTCAAATAAAAACCTAAGGATTATTCACAGCTGTCCCAGAATTAACTCAAATACAGAGAAAATAGCAATACAATGAGTCGGCAGGTAACCTAGTTGTTAAGAGCGGTGGCCCAGTAACCGAAAGGTCGCTGGTTTGAATCCCTTAGTCAACTAGGCGAAAAATGTTGATGTGCCCTTGAGTAAGGCACAACCATAATTGCTCCTGTATATCACTCTGGATAAGAGCATCTGCCAAATTTAAATTAATCACTGCTGAGAAACAACGATGGCTTCATTATCTAATCTACCACCAACAATTCCTGATGGCAATAAATGTTACATTAAAACATTCTGAAATGTCATACATAGAATATTCAGCACGCATTACTATTAGATCTGATACATTTTAACAAAAAAGCAAGGCTGAGAACACCTGGTCTAAGGGAATGGTGTTGTGCACTTCAGTGATGTAATGTAATCTACCTCCTGCAACACCTTTACCAAAGTGTGGTATTGTCAATCGTTTACCAAGGTGAAAATGTCAGCTCACCTTCTGAATGTTGTAGTCGGACAGTGTGCGTCCATCCTCCAGCTGCTTACCAGCGAAGATCAACCTCTGCTGATCAGGAGGGATACCTGGAGAGAGACAGGGGGCAATGAGTTCAATCTTTCAGGCAGCCACTTCATGCACCAATGCAATCTTATGCAATTCAAAGGATGACAAGGACTACAAATGTGTGCAATTACCTTCTTTGTCTTGGATTTTGGCCTTGACATTTTCAATGGTATCTGAAGGCTCAACCTGGAAATAACAGAACCTGTCAGTCTTCAAACAGTAGCTAACGTGGCTAGCAAAAAGACTAAACAGTTCCAAGACAACTAATTCCCAAGGTATTGGTTAACTAACTACCAGCCAAAATGGCAATAACAAATAGTACTCATAACTTAATCTACATTAAAGCAGAATGATGTTATTATATAGCTAAGATGAGTAGCCGAGCTGTTCCGGTCATTTACACGTGTATACGCGGGCCGTGCTACTAAAATGTAGTTAGCTACTGGTAGCCAACTAGCTAGCAGTTCAGCATTAAAAACCGGTAACGAAGTCGGCAAGTACTGGCAGGCTATTAACAACTACTGTCCAATAAAGATGAGTGAACTTGCAAAAGTGTTTATGGCTGATTAATTGTTATAACGCACTCTATGCTCATTTAACCGTGTTAGCTAGCTAGTTACCTAGCCAGCTAGTTTGCTAAAGAATGCATGCGCCGCTATTAGAGGCAGGAAGCCCTTCAAGTCCGAAGTACCCACCTCGAGGGTTATAGTCTTCCCCGTGAGGGTTTTGACGAAAATCTGCATCTTGGCGTTCAATCCACCTGCACACAAGAACGACAGTGTTGTATGTACAACTATATTAGCTCAAACACGATCTACAATGTCGTTATTATGGTAAATAATTACATAAAATAGAGAGCACGATCTTACCACAGGTCTCCAACTAATGGCGGATCATGAGAAGAGGGCTTTCCAAGCGTGCGACGGGGTTTTCTGGCCTCGTCTGCAGGGAGTAGGTGTCAAATAAAATGCCTGTTCAAAAACACCTCTCTCAGAAGAATTCATAAGACATCATGCTTTGCGAGGTATTTTCCCAAAACCAGATTTGGTTGAGTTTTTTTTCTGAAAATATAAGAGAGAAATTCCACCCCAAAATAAGGGGAGAAACATACGATTTTAAAACTACCCAACGTACCCTTATGTCCATAGCAACCTTCCCGTTTACCTTTTGGGCACATTGGAGACACTTCTCTGCAAAATGTCTCGTGTTGGATTAATTAAACCATGTCCAAGAAAGGAGAGTGAAAAAACATAAGAAAATCGTGTTTAGAGCTGGAAACTTCCATCACTCAACAGAAGAATTTGGAAGAAGAACTTTGCCACCTATCAAATCTGCCAGTGACAATAATTTCCTAGAATCTCTTGGTGAATAGTACATGTGAGAAGGAACATCTGATGTGTCCAGATGAGGGACTGATGAGCAACGTTACATCATTTACAGTTCTGCATTTGATAAGGTATCAAAATGAAGCACCATACCCTTTTGCCTTGTTTCAGCATCATCACTCAAGCGTTTATGTAGGCCTATACACCTGACCTGTTTAGAATGCCTGGGCTTGTTGCATAACTAGCTATGCCTATCTCTTGCTTGTTTGATTTTCTCAGATAATTGAGTATGCAACTGCATACAAAACAGTTCTCACCACCATCAAGAAAGAGTTTGATGAGTTAATCTGTGCCATAAATAAGAGTGACCATGATGCCAAGCTGGCGCATGGGAAACTGAAGGCGGTGGTGGCCCAGCCCACCTCCCTTATGTACTGTCAGAGAAAAGCTGTGCAGCTTCAGGAAATGCAAGCGAGTCACTTCAATCTTCTACCATAGACACAATGTGGCCCCAGAGTACAGGCTTAAACATTGTTTTTTCCCCCCTTCCAGGATTGCCATCATTCAGAGAGACACTGCAGAGCTGCAGGCTGAGCTAAAGAGTACAGGAGTGGAGGAGCAACAAGAGACCCTCGTTGCATCAGAAGACCTTGGAGAGCAAGACACTATGGCCCGTTGGGCAAATTCCAGGCATGTCCCTACATTGCTGAACTAATTTGTGCCTGTTTGTTTTGACTTAACGGTATAATGGCTGTATGTACTGTATACCCAAGTACATATTGTCATGTCAATATGTCATTCATGAGCAGTGCTTACAGTATAGTTTTTCCCAGTTCTGACATTTGATGAGTCGATGAACCCAGCAGTTCTTGCAAAGCATTTGGAGTACCTTGAGTGAAAGCGAGACAACCTGCAGATTAAGAGGAAGAGCCTGTATGTGTCTGTTTCCGTCAAGGCTGACCTGGACAATAAAATGCGGTCTGCCCTGGACCAGAGCGATGAGCTGGCAGTAGAGAATGAGAGACTCCAACTCCGGTGAGACTGTCTCACTTGTCTCAATACTCACTAGCATGAGTGTTAATAGAATACCATTGAAAAGGCCTATGTTGTTATCAGTTCTTCTGGTTTTCTACATACAAACAGAGGAAGTTTCTGAATGACTCCCTCATTAACTGGGAAAAGACAGGAAGAGCAGTCCCTTTGCTGGAGTTCCTCACCTCATAACTGGAGAATATATTTGATCTGAAAAGTATTTTACACTTCCACTTTAGCATACAGTGTATGTTAGTATTAGTGACACTGACAGTGAATACAGTTATTCTACTTATGATATGGGAGGCCTATAAACCTCGAGAGCTTTTGTGTGTTTTGTAACTATGAGAAGGATTATGATACAGCAGCAATAAAGTACTATTATTTCCATGCTAGTGAGCGACACTGAAATCCCCTGGCATCAGTGCAGTAGTGTTTGAAGATGATGATCCCAGCAAGGTCAATGAATCGGAGCTCTTGGTGGATTACATTGAAAGGTACTATAGTTTTTTCTGAGTTTTAGTGCTATGCTTTCAACCAATGCATATGTATAGATCAGTGGTCACCAACCGGTTGATCGACTGGTCGATCTTCAAGGCATTCCTAGTCGATCACCAAACATTTATGTAGAAAAGCCTATAATAAAAGTCATAAAGATGCTACTTTATTTTATTTTTCGTGTTGCGCTGTTGGCGGTCGGTGCACTTGATTCAGAAGCCCAGCCCATCGGGTAGGCAAAGTGTTCCCATTTTGAACAATTTCATTTGTCTGAAAATACAAACTCTGCCTACCTGGCAGACCAGGAGATCTGTGGCTAAATAGAGTGCCAATCGGATATCTCAAATCACCATGGCTACAGCTTCCACGACGCCGGCTACAGCAAAGTTTGATGCTAGCCTACCTGAGATTTCATAACTTTTAAAACCATGATCAGAGAGAGACACATTGAATACAGCAAAGAGCTGCTGTTTTTATCAGTGAGTTCTTGTTTAAGTTTTTTTTCAACACTATTACAAAACATAATGTGCTTCTCCCTACTTCCACTCACGCGGCTGCAATGAATGAAAGTGTATTGATAGCCCTGTGTTCTTCTTCTTCTTATTATTATTATTAGCAGCTCGTGTCTATTTTAATATTGAGGAATATTTCACATTCTCTGGTCATTGGAACAACATTAATTTGTGCACGAGGCAGATGTGGTGCGACTCGAGTTTCGCCATCAGGTGGAAGACGGTGTTGCCTCTCTGGTCAGTCGGAGGAAAGGAGAGAGCATTGACGTCATGATTTGACCTTGTTTTATTTCCAGAGTTCCCAGTTGTATTGACCATCAGATGCAGGTACCATCAGTCCAGTAAAATATTTGCAAATTATTTCAGTTTTTGCTCAGCTGGCCTCGCAAGTGCTACACCAACTGATCTACTGTATATTGTTATCAAAGCTTGAGTTTTGAAATATAAAATGGTCTGAGAAGAACAATCTTGGCAGACAAGGCATATAGCCAATATGCTGTGATAATGTATTAGGCCTATTGCACAAACCACATTCCTACAGACCTGTTTTTATTAGCTTAATTGTACATTTTTTAAGTCATGTAAAAAAAAAATTCTGAGTGGTAGATCTCGGCTTGCTTTTTGATTGCGAAAGTGATCTTGACTCAGAAAAGGTTGGTGACCACTGGTATAGATAATTGTTCTATGTGTTTTGACTTCCTGCAGGTTCATTGACCTATGACGGGGTGAATATGAGGCAGCTGCTTTCCATGCCGCCAAATCCCATCATAGAGTCTTGGGAAACATGGAGACAATGGAAAGGTTAAAAGGTGGATCTCTTTATTGTCTATCTTACACAGAGGTCATATAGTGTTGTGATCCCTATACACACATAATGTGGGTTATTGTGAAGTCTCAACCATAAAGTAACTCTGCATCTTGTACAGGCACACAGCACATATGAGTCTGTATGAACTGTTTGAACTGTTCTCTGTTTCCCCTATAGCAGTCACAGTGTACAGGGGGAGCTGCCCCCTCTGCTCCTTTTCTTCCAGGCCCTCATGATATCAGTGCATGCTGGGAAACATCTGCCCTGGGAGACCCTAGGGGGTCCGGTGTGCCATACAGCACAACTTTGTAGAGCTGGTCACACACTGGGTCACCCAGAAGAGGTTAGCATATAATTGTGTATAATATGAGGGTTAGGGATTATCAGTCTTTTTGGTGTAGGGTTTGAATGGTATAGCTGGGCATTGTTGTAGCAAATATAGAATAATCAAGAGAAATACAGTATTAGTAAACTCTTAGAAAAAAGGTGCTATCTAGAACCTAAAAGTGTTCTCCGACTGTCCCCATAGGACAGGGATCATCAACTAGATTCAGCCGTGGGTCGATATTTTCTTGAGCGGATGGTCGGGGGGCCAGAACTGCAAATTGACCACAAGAAGCCCAAACAGATATGTTTGACTAAAACAATCATTTCAAACCTTGCTTACATTTGTATATGATCACGTGTCTCTCTATTATGCGTGGGAATACTTGGGAACAGCTTTCTTAAATTAAAATCACTTGGTGCTGATTTCCTGGTGTTTTTACAGTCTTATATGTACAACAATGAAAATTCAACAACACATAATCAACAATATATATTATTTTTGCTGAGAAAACTTGGGGGGGCAAATAAAACCAGCCCGCGGGCCGCCAGTTGGGGCACCCTGCCATAGGAGAACCCTTTTTGGTTCCAGGTAGAACCCTTTTGGGTTCGACGTTAAACCCTTTCCACAGAGGGTTCTACATGGAACCCAAAAGGGTTCTACCTGGAACCAAAATGATTCTACCTGGAACCCAAAAGGGCTCTCCTATGGGGACAGCCGAAGAACCCTTTTGGAACCCTTTTTTCTAAGAGTGTATGAGAGTATAAGACAAAGGTGTGAGTGTTTAGAGCTCTATGTTATTGAGCTCTATGTTACAGCTTTCTCCATAACCCTCTCAGACTAACATACAGCAAGGCTCTGGGGGATGTGAGCATAGAGACAGGAAGCCGCGAATGGCCAACACATGCCTGGCTCTGGCCGATATAGTCTACAAGGCCTGCGGCGTGCTCAGGAAGGCCACACTGAGCATGTGCAAGAGAGGCATGACCAGCAATGCTATGGAGTTCATCTATCGAAGCAAAGGCTTTACTGCAGGTGGGGAACACACTCTCACTCATTTACAGATACTATTCACACACATCCTATGTAGTGTATGTGTGAGTGACTCAGTGTGTGCAGTGTGTTTTTAAGTAAATGTGTATTGTTCTCTGTGTGTATGTTTGTGTGCAGATTACTGTCTGTTTGGCTGTCCCAGTTTGGCCCTGCTCCAGGCATTGACTCAGGAGTATCAGGGTCAGCCTGGAGTGATTTCTCTGGGCTTTGCCTGCCATGCTCTGCTCAACTCTGATCTGGAGGTCCTGGCACTGCAGATGGTGGGGAAGATATGTAGGCTACACGCACTAATCAGCAGGGCAAGCACATATGGTCGCACACACGGACAAGTTGAACTGACCTGTGCTGCTGTGATTTTCAGGTACTTTGGAGAAGGTGATTCTGGATGATACTAGGTGTTCTGCAGTGGACTGGGGTGAGATAGCGGGTCGCTGTGGCCAGAAGAAAGGGCCCTGCTGGCCCAGGAGATCCTCTTCATCCTGCTGTCTCAGTCAGGGACTATGTACCTCTCCCCTGGCATAGAGAGCTCCAGGCTGATGGCACACGTGTTCATGTAGGGAGACAGCCACCAGAGGGTGCCCATGGGACTGATCTGAACCAATCCAAGAGGCCTCCCAACAAAGCAAGCCCATTTATACCTCTGTGTCATCCTGCTCAGTGCGCACAGAGAGATGCACAGTCATCCACACAGGTCCTCCAGAGTCCAGATCATTAAATCATTTGCATGTACAGTACCAGTCAAAAGTTGGACACACATACTCATTCAAGGGTTTTTCTTTATTTTTACTATTTTCTACATTGTAGAATAATAGTGAAGACATCAAAACTACGAAATAACACATATGGAATCATGTAGTAATCAAAAAAGTTTTAAACAAATCAAAATATATTTTATATTTGAGATTCTTCAAAGTAGCCACCCTTTGCCTTGATGATAGCTTTGCACACTCTTGGCATTCTCTCAACCAGCTTCTTGAGGTAGTCACCTGGAATGCATTTCAATTAACAGGTGTGCCTTGTTAAAAGTTAATTTGTGGAATTTCTTTCCTCCTTAATGCGTTTGAGCCAATCAGTTGTGTTGTGACAAGGTAGGGGTGGTATACAGAACATAGCCTATTTGGTAAAAGACCAAGTCCATATTCTGGCAAGAACAGCTCAAATAAGCAAAGAGAAATGACAGTCCATCATTACTTTAAGACATGAAAGTCAGTCAATACGGAACATTTCAAGAACTTTTAAAGTTTCTTCAAGTGCAGTCGCAAAAACCAAGCGCTATGATGAAACTGGCACTCATGAGGACCGCCACAGGAAAGGAAGACCCAGAGTTACCTCTGCTGCAGAGGATAAGTTCATTAGAGTTACCAGCCTCAGAAATTGCAGCCCAAATAAATGCTTCACAGAGTTCAAGTAACAGACACAATCCAACATCAACTGTTCAGAGGAGACTGCGTGAATCAGGCCTTCATGGTCGAATTGCTGCAAAGAAACCACTACTAAAGGACACCAATAAGAAGAAGAGACTTGCTTGGGCCAAGAAACACGAGCAATGGACATTAAACCGGTGGAAATCTGTCCTTTGGTCCAAATTGGAGATTTTTGGTTCCAACCGCCGTGTCTTTGTGAGACGCAGTGTAGGTGAACGGATGATCTCCGCATGTGTAGTTCCCATCGTGAAGCATGGAGGAGGAGGTGTGATGGTGTGGGGGTGCTTTGCTGGTGACACTGTCTGTGATTTATTTAGAATTCAAGTCACACTTAACCAGCATGGCTACCACAGCATTCTGCAGCGATACGCTATCCCATCTGGTTTGCGCTTATTGGGACTATAATTTGTTATTCAACAGGACAATGACCCAAAACACACCTCCAGGCTGTGTTTTGGGTCATTCTTGCTCTATTTGACCAAGAAGGAGAGTGATGGAGTGCTACATCAGATGACCTGGCCTCCACAATCACCCGACCTCAACCCAATTGAGATGGTTTGGGATGAGTTGGACCGCAAAGTGAAGGAAAAGCAGCCAACAAGTGCTCAGCATATGTGGGAACTCCTTCAAGACTGTTGGAAAAGCATTCCAAGTTCCATCTTTATTAGAAAGCAGTGCCATGTTATTAAATTGACAATACATGAACAGTGTCACCTAATAGTTGGTTTATCAGTTTTAGTTATTCCTCAATATAATTTACTCTTAACTGGACTCAAACAGTAAGATGAAACAACTTAATCTTAGAAAATCATCACTACGTACTATACATTTAGATTTGGATCGATGGGATCTACTACATCCAAAATCATTAATGGTGACAAGCTCTGCAGAATATTGCATTTTCTTTTAATACATTTCCTGTTTCCTGTCTCCAGAACACCACTGACCAACCCTTGGTGGTATGAGTCATTATCCCCACAGAGATGAGAAATGATGGCCAATCCCTGAGTGGCGCACAATTATGTAAACAGAAATACGAAGAGGACACAGTGGCAGATAGCAGGCATCTCAGTGGCCTCCCCCTCACACAGTGGACCCATTGTCCCAGTGCAGGGGCAGTCTCAGTCACCCAGCCATATTAGAGTGAGTGAAGCTTCCACACAGCACAAACAATGCCCACCATCAATAAACACAGTCTCCAGTTTCCTTTGCCTCCGCCTTAGAGACATGAAGCCACACTGAGCTGTGTGTCTATGATCCCCACAGTTAATCAATTCTGCTGATGTTGTTTGGCGCATTGCTTTGTATATCTGTTTGATCCGTTAATGGGTTAGTGAATGAACGTGTGTAGTTGATGGCCTCTAACTGTAAATGACTAAAATGTAAAATATATACCAATTTAAACCTAGAGCGGATCAACTATCAACTAACAAACTGGGCTCTTATATAGACTTTTATTCGTATTTGCTACAAATACCACCCATGCAACATTTCGCATCATTGTTGTGATTATCAATTGATGCTGGCTGCTCTCCAGGCACCAGAGCAGTTTAGCCCCCACAATATGTGCTGTTAGGTCTTTGAACATCAATACTTGTAGTGTTAGCACAATGACGCTAGCACACTGTGTTGTCAGACTGCAGATTGTGGGGGCAGCTGGTATCCAAGGGAGGCATTTTGCAGCAGAGATGGAGAGAGGAGAAAAGAGTGGGTTGACAATATGTGAGGCAAAGATGGAGAGAGAGTAAGATCGACATGCTGATATAGCATTTCTATTACAGAGAGTAAGGACCAAAGAGACAGTGTGCTATGAAAAAGAGGAACAAAGAGAGCGAGGGAGACTGTGAAAGGCAGAAATGTTAGCGGGGGAGTGAGAGATGATGCTGAATCAGCGCAGCATGGCTCCACCCCTGCTGCGGTTATTGATCTCCTGCAGTAAGAGGAGCTGGAGCTGGCCTGCTGATGGCCCCAACGCAGCTCCCCAGAGACTCTACCTCCCTGCCCTCTTACTCCACAGCTCAGAGCAGCCCCAGTGCCCTGCCTTGAGGCCTACCTCAGCCCTGGGTATCTGTGTCAAAGGGTGCTGTATAACCTCATGTCTTTGTGTTAATAAAGGGTAAAGGGTGAAAAGGGTGTTGAGATCTGCCTTCTCTCACATCTTTTGTTTCCTATGCTAAAACTATTATCAACAAGAAAAAGCATTGCAATCCATCTTCCCAAAGCGATGCAATCAAGAGTTGTGTTTTGCAAACTGCCTATTAGTCAGGATCCAGTTTATAACAGGATGCATGTAGTGTCCTTGGATAGCACTTTTGGAAGATGTTAAAATATTGATGGTAGTATTTACTAGTACAGAAAAAAACACAAGTGTAGTATCATACTGTCTTGAATGGCCCTTTAAAGAGGAGGTATTTCCCTGCGCCAGCATGCCTGTCAGAACCTGTTTAACAGCTCAGGGTTTTCCCTCTGTATTCCAGCTCCAGCGGGTTTCTCGTCTCCCAGAGTGTGGCACAGATATCGGCCCTCTCCTCAGTCCGGCAGCGTTATGTGAACTGACAGCCGTGTCTAGCACACACAGCCTCTGGTCTAGATAGAGCTCAGTGCAGCAGACCAGCAGAGAAAGAGAGCGAGGGGGGCGTTGGCCCTGACGTCTCACATGCTTTTGTCCAGACAATGTCCACAGAGGTTTGACTTACTTCCAGGCTTTTCTTTGATAGAGCGTTTGACCCTGCTTTAATGCTATCACTTGTGGGATGTGGCTACAGTTTTGGAAGGAACATGGTCCAGAATAAATAGCTTTGTCAAGCCTTCTATTTCTGAGCTGTGAAGCAGATTTATGCACATTTGTACTGGGGTGGGAAGGGGAATCTCTGGATTACACAGCGCCTCTCTCGCACTTTGTATTGATGTCTCCTGGTTTGACTGTATATTTAGTCACTGTGGTTGTATCCTGTCCATTTTGTTGAGATTTCCATGGATTAAAGCAGTGCCACATTAGGTTTGCAATGGGAATGGAAAATAGTTCATTGATTTCCAGCATGGCAGATGGGCAGATGGGCAGATGGGCAGAGGGAGTGCTTTGTTGTGCAGCTGTCATTATTATATTGGCAGCAAATATCTCCTCTCCAGGGTTAGCTTATGTGACACACTCAGTAAACAGACTGGGGTCGGAGAGGGGACATTCACATAAAAGAAAAACACTGTTTGGCACAGGATCAGGAGGGAATATCTAATTTTGCCGTATCACTGGTGACTCTCTTGGATTGTTAAAAACTGTTGCTAAACCTGATAAACAAACTTTTGTCCGCTGCCAGCTCTGGAACTTTGTGCTCTTTGTTCTTCCTCTTAACATCATCTCCTTCTCCCAGTCTGTTTAACAGCTTAAACAACTATTTTCTCCATCATCAGAGTGAAGCTGTGTTTCTGTGTTTAGAGAGAACAGAGAGCTATCTGACTTGTAATTACATTATGGGTTTAATCTCAGGGGAATGACAGCCAACCATTCTGTGCTACATAATTAAAATGGCCCCAAGGCTTCAAAGACAATTTTCAATTAATCATCCCTTTTTGTGTGGAGAGGGCTTTGTCAGGTTGTCACGCCCTGACTCAGGGGACTCGTATATGTTGAGTCAGGGTGTGTATGTTCTATGTTGTGTATTTCTATGTTGGTTTTCTAGTATGTGTATTTCTATGTTGGCCGGTGTGGTTCCCAATCAGAGGCAGCTGTCGCTCGTTGTCTCTGATTGGGGACCATACTTAGGCAGCCTATGGGCACTATTGAGTTGTGGGATTTTGTTCCGTGTGAGGTATGTTGTTTGTGTACCTTGGACTTCACGTGTCGTTAGTTTATTGTTTTTGTCGTTGTTTATTCGGTGCAAATAAACATGTATGCATATCACGCTGCGCCTTGGTCTGACCCGTTCATCAACGAACATGACAGAAGATCCCACCAAACGAGGACCAAGCAGCGTGCCCAGGAAGAGCGAATAGCCATGTCACAGGTGGGCAAATGGTGGTCATGGGAGGAGATATTTGCGGGGAAAGGGCAATGGGCAAAGGTAGATGCCCAGGCAGGAGAGGTGAAACGGCGCCAACCGTGCCGACGACGGAGACCCGAGAGGCAACCCCAAGAA